TATTATTATTATTATTATTATTATTATTATTATTATTATTATTATTAAAATAAGAAATTATAACTAGGGCTTAGGTTAATATTATTCAAAATAACCAATGATTTCTTCAAAACAGGATTTTATTTCTTATAATCTTGGCAGCCATTAATAATTGAATGATCTGTTGGATATAAAGGATTACCACACATGGCACAAGCAGAAAGCACATATTGTTTTATAATACTGAATGTGCATTTTCAGACAATTTAATAATAGTCCTTTTTTTAAAAAGTTAAGGAAACTGCTGCCTTTCAGTGATTTGGAAGTTGAATGGCAACTGTCAAGCACAAGCCCTTAGACTAGACTAATTTACTCATGAGGAACCCATGCTTTGCCCTATATCCCTGCTAAACATGCAGTCATGGACAAATCTGAGATGGTATTAAAGTTAAATATTAGATGGATCTAATACAAATGAAAAGATTAATTATATTAATATAACGGTGTCTTCAGTGATTTGGAAGAGAAAGGGATGGAAATGTGACTATGGGCCAGGGAGGGTGCCAAGGCAACAGAAACAGTTGTTCAAATTGAACTTGGGTCAGGCAACATATACCACAGCCGATGTGTCAGCCTTAAAACTGCCCTAACAGTTTTTGCTGTGGTTACGACCATGATATGACAGTCATCTCCCTTAACCAGTTAATTCTAAAGAATGCAGTGTAGCAATGTTACACTGCATCCTTAGGAGGGCAGGGCAAAGACAGTTCATGAAAAAGTACTGAGAGTTTTAGAAGCTCACAGAATTCTTCCCCTCTCTGCTTTCATTTTACTGGCTCAGAAAAATTCAGGGCTTCATTAGATAATTTAATACTTCCAAACAACAATGCAATTCATTTTTTTTGTGAGGAGACTAGATGCAGTATTCTGTAAAAGGCATGAATGAAGTGCTTAGATCCAGCCATTAAGCTGCTCTTTTAAACAGTCTTTTAAAATGCTATCAATATTTTAAGATATGTACACTAGAATATTTGAAAGTTATTGAGAATTTTATAAACATTAGGCACGTAGAGTTTCCCAAAATGCAGTTTCCTCTAAGAACTCATATCTGCCTTAATTAGGCTAAGCCAAATTATAGAGAACACAGAATTACATTGCTTATCAAGTTATAGAAAATGTAATATAATCTCTTATGTTCCAAAACTCAAACCACTATTTTACTATTATGAAATATAAATAATCATATCTTAATTAATTCTCACTTTAAAGCTCATATTCGGATTACTGAGAAATTATATGCATTGGATCTTCATCTCTTATGACTTGGATGAAGTATTTTCTGTTCTTCATGATTTTATTTATCTGCATTTCTATATTGTCCACTAACTGAAACGCTCTAGTTTTACACAAAATATCCAAGTTACATGCATCTTAGATCCCTGAAGGAATTAGCTGATGGACTAAGTAGAACTTTAATCAATTAGCTTCTGATAAGTTCTGGAGAATGGAAAAATGCCAGAATTTCAAAATATTCCTGTTTTGGAAAAGGGGGGTGGGAGGTAGAAAAACTAAAAACAAATCAATCTAATACCTGATACTTAGAAAAAATTCTATGCTCTCTTTATGAGAAGTTCATAAAGAGCATGCATTGAAAACTAAAACATGGATTATTATTTTTTGCTTGCTAACACCTCATTTCTGGACTTTTAACAAAATGTGGGAATGTTGCAGAAGCCCTTTCTCTTCTTTGCAAACTCTACCAGAAACAGGAAAGGAAACTGTAGCACTTTTTTTTAGATTTAACTCCTTTCAATTAAGCTACATTGATATACAAATAAATAAATAATATCGTAGAACTAACTATATTTTGCCATTGGTACCATTTAGACTAAACTATGTAAGCAGATGGTGTTCTAGAATTGCTGGAGTGAATGATTATAGTTTACAACTAGGACCCCATTCCATTATCTGTCAACTGTGTGCTCCTTTATACCCAGAACAGACTGGATTCTGAGTGGGATAGGAAATTTTCCAGTTTGGTAGCCTCATTTCCCTTCCAAATTTCTACAATATTTTGTTTCTAAAGGCTAATCTGTTCATTTTGGCAACACAGACTGAGTACTGTACTCTGCAACAATCAGATCCTTCATTTCAAAAGTTAACTTGCTAAGAGAATTCTAGGGTTCCATATAATTTGCAGAAATAAAACATTTTAGCCACTGTAGTTCTCAGGTAAAATCTCAACAGATGAATTAATATTTATATTTTAGACATTTATGTATGGCACTTCTTTTTAATATTTCTGAAAGTAAAATATCAATAATGGTATTTTTTTTTTGTTTGGCACTCATTTTGTTTTAGGCGTGTGTATTCTACAAATATGAAGGAATATATACTTCTACTTCTTGTGGCCTTAAGTTCTGCAAAGCCTTTCCAAAAGCCTTCATATTTCACCTTTAAAAATATAATGCTCATGGATATGGAAGATCTGGATGATGATGATGATGATGATGATGATGTTGACGATGATGATAAAGATGACAATTCCCTTTTTCCTACCAGAGCACCCTTGATACCAGTTGACATATTTCCAGTATGTCCCTTTGGATGTCAGTGCTATTTAAGAGTTGTCCACTGTTCTGATTTAGGTAAGCTACACCTATGCAGTACATTAGTGATGTAGACATTTGAAATTAGTGAGTTTTCTTCAGCTTCCTGAGAAGAAACTCCAGAGATGCACTAATACTATTTCAATACTCACCTTAAGCTTTAAGGATTTCCACATCAATTGATCTTGATTACAAGCAATAATTGGCCTATTGCCTTTGGGTGACCAAAATGAACAACTTCCTCCTTTACTACAGAACAATCTGGAGTTCACAAAAATTTCAATTGTGTAACACTCCAGAAAGCTAGTGTTGATTATTTGACTGAATTGCTTCTTCGCCTCTGATGGAGTGCATTATCTCTGGGAGAGCATATTGCTGATTTTCAGTTGTTAGTTCAAGATATGGACTGGAACGAAAAAGAAACCTGATTGTTCAGTTTAAATGGGACAAACTCATTCATCACTTTACTGTATTAATGAAAGTCTGCTTGGGTATTGACAGATTATGGCAGAGTGAATCAGTGGTGGGATTCAATTTTTTTTTACTACCGGTTCTGTGGGCATGGCTTGGTAGGCTTGGCAGGGGAAGGATACTGTAAAATCTCCAGTCGGAGGTGGTATTTGCCAGTTCTCCGAACTGCTCAAAATTTCCGCTACCAGTTCTCCAGAACTGGTCAGAACCTGCTGAATACCAAAAAAAAAAAAAAGGCTCCACATAGTTTGGCAAATTACAAAAGCAAGAATTATACAGAATTCAGTTAGGTATTTTTAATGTTTAAATATAGACTGTGGGAAAATATGAGAGAAATTTTTCACTCATTGATAGGTAGTTAAGAAAGATTAGATCTCTTTGATTTATTCTTCCCAGGATTCTTCTCATTTGGCTTAAGTTGTCATTTATAAGATAAGTTGATGTTCGTCTTAACTTCTATCTCTTGAGTATGTCTGGTCTTCCATTCCTTTTTCAGCCTGGCCAAAATCTTTCATAGCACCAAGACACATAAGCTCCATGTTTATATTATGGGAAATCTTCACATGGAAGTTTTCCCTTTATGATAAAGTTAACTGTTATAGTTGGGAATGTGTTATAAACAGATAACCCAAACATTAATGTGAAATTATTCAGTCTCAACCATTGAGACTTCAGAGGCTGGAACACTCAGACCGTAAGACAAGAACATTTTACATTTTAGTTACTGTTACTCTGCAAATTCAGACCAGATCTGAGTAGAGCTGCAAGTCTATAACTTATATATTATAAGATTATATAAGGAATTTAATGTAACTGTCCACTGCATATGAATATAATGCTGCATATCAATTAGGTCACTCATTCTGCAAAGCCCCCTACAAAAGCTGAAACTATTTATGACCAGCACTTACACACAAGACCAATCAAAGAGTGCCATGACTCATATGCAACCACGAGAAATCTCTAAAACTTAACCTAGCTTCCTGTTACATTTCCCAAGAAATTAGGGTTGGGCAGATTGCAAGCTCACAAGCCACATATTCACTGAAACTGAGGAACCATAACAGCTGATTCTCTATGAAATTTTCATAATGTGCAATACTACCAGCCTCTTGCTCTCACCATCAAGAACAGCAAGAACTCTTCCTGTATTGCCTGCTAAATATGCTGATTCTACTGATGTTGAATAGAAGCACAGACTCTCTCCCACTCCCCAATTTGATCAGACGTTGAATTTCCATAACACATCACTACCCCAAGTCAAAGGGTGAATCTTGCTACTAAAGAGAGTTGCATGATGACTATTTGCAGAAAGACTTTACCTGCTTTGTTCCTTTTCATCAGTGCTCCTCTATTTGTTAAGGAAAACCAGTGCTCCATGTTTATTGGCTCCTAAATTCTGTAGCTTATTAGGGATTGCCAACCTCTTCCTCTAATTTCTGATGATTTAGTGCATTTGCAGAAAGCTTGCATTGTTACTAAATTAAACCTTAGGTGCAATCTGACCAGAGCAATATATTGTAGAGGGGAATAGTAATTTTCATAAAGTTGACATTATATTGACCTATATTAATCTAGCCCAAAGTTACATTGGCTCTTTTGCAATTTTGCTTCTAGCTATACTGAAAACGCAGTTGTTTTAAGTTCAAAAGTGCTAGAAAATTTCTGGAAGTTTGACCCTGAAGAAAAATCAGCCATCAATAGGCACATAGAGATCAACAACATTTATACACCATTTAAAAGAGACAATCAAAAGCTAAAAAAGGAAACAGATCAAAACTGATCTTCACCAGCAATCAACACCAATATAAACAGGAATTAGCACTAGGATTAATACCAAGTTAACAATCCAACAGTAAATAATACCTTAATCAAGGAACTATGGGTATAAACTCATATAAACAATTGTAAGCAACAGCCTAATCAAGGAATTACCAAGAACAATACTCTGACCAACATTGACAGAGCAAGCCATTATATATAATCAGAGCAGACCCCAGTCCCTTCTAGCACTGAAGATGTTACTATTTGGATATTGAAACATCTTTAAAAAACCATCTCAGAGCACCAAGGCTCCATAGTTTGACCATGATGTACACATATTCTCTTCTATTGGTATACTTGGTTTTCTACTTTTTCCTCCTGGTCCTGGACAAGTTCTCTTGTGCTTTGTTAAGTTCTGCTCTCACAACCCCATGTCAAAATGAGGAGGGGGGAGGAATTTGAGAGGGAGCATATTTGGAATTCTTGGAGCAAAAGGGCGGATTCATGGAGAATCATATTCATTGGAAGGGATTAGAGAGATCCTGAAAAACAGTAGATAATGTCCATGCCCCTGCCTCTTTTGACCATTTGCCATGCTCACAAAGCCCGGATCACCTGCGTTCTGTCTTCAACTTTCTGGCTGAATATAAAGACAGTTAGATATACTCTACAAAGGCTTCCATACAAAGTTTCTTTATTGGATTGTAATAGGCATCCTCAAGGTATAACTCACAGTTATGTTGAGATCCATCTAATGTCCAATCTTTGCACAGTCGTCTTCATAGTGGAAAAATATGGTTATCTTCATCCCATAATGATATAGCAAGGGATCCAGCACACTGCTGCGTCCAGGCAAGGAAAGAACAAAGGCTTCCCCCAACCCAACTACAGGTCAATTCAGTGACCAATCAGGATTACAGATGTGACATGACATGAACTACATTTCCCATGAGGCATTCCCGTAGGCACAGCTCCCAATTCCTTATTAACTATATAGTGTCTGACCAGCACAACCTGATTGGGTTTGTACTCCATTTACTGCCTATGGATAAATCTAACACTGAAGGGGGTTGGTTTGGGAAAAGGAGGTGGCTTCAAAGAGCATTTGGGGATTTTTTTCAATTCCCTGATGGGCACTTTTGTTCAGTCCCAGAAAGTAATACTACTGCCTCTGACCACCCTTTTTCTAGAGTCCAATCATAGACAGCAATTTGGTTTACTAAAGTTAACTGGGAGGTGAAGTGCCTCCCTGGATACCTGGAAGATGCTGGAGGAAGTAAATCTAACTCAGCATGAATATGTACCTATGTTCAGGCCTACATTGTGGTGATATGAGAGGTGAAAAATATTTACCAGTACTTCTCCTCTTGCAGACAATTATTGATATTAACTGGGGCATTGCCTTGTCCTGTTATCTGGTACTTCATTTTGTTTGTGACCTTCAAGGAAATGGATAGGATTTTGCCTTAGTTGCCTTCTACCATCAGATGAACCCTTGCCTCTCCCAACTTCTATGATAAGTAGATAGAGGAAGTGATGATTTGAGTCTAGGAAACTGTGAGAGCTTCTGGCAGCCTTGATGTGATGTGATGTAACCCAGGTATTTTTGGATGCAATGGTGTTAAAGAATTACTTTAACCTTTTAAAGGAAAGTTGATGGTGGGAAATACCCAGCCAGCAAGGTATTTCAAATGAGCAATTAGCCTTGAATCACTGCACAGCTGCAAGAATTCCAAGACTAACACTCCTACTCATTTCAAGCTCCATGAAATCTTATCTGTCTATTCCCAAGTGAAGTCAAGCAGTCTGGGTAGATTTCTGTACTATAGGTAGAATTATAACAAACCAGTCAACTTGAACTCTTCATGTGTTGATCTATTGCTTGGGCTTGACAGTTGTTGAAATGGTTGGGATGAATCAACAATGTTTCATCCCAACTAAAAAAAAAAAGGATATTTGTGAACCTTTTCGGTCTTCAGTCCAATCAGGGTTTAGGCCTAATTTTGGACCATAGGTACTATTGATCAATCTTCTAGATTACCTGTGTTGTGACTTGGGGAGGTATACCCATTCTGGTCTTATTAGACCCCAGCAGCTTTTGATACCATCAATCATGGTTCACTTTTGGATTGTTTTAACCATGATTCTACTCCTTCCTTAGTTGGTGGGAGAAGAGAGATCGGCCCAGTGGCCCCTGATTTATGGAACACCACACAGTTTGTCTTGTATCTACTGTTTTTAACTTCTATATGAAGTTATTAGCAAGGTTGTATATTGTGGGGGAAAAAAAGATTACTCAACAGTTTAGGGGTGGGTATCTTCAATATACTGATGATACTGAATTGTATTTTGCCATCTGACTTATTATTAATTTTAACTGGTATCTAGAGGCTGTCAAGTTCTGGATGAGAAAGAACAAACTAAAATTGAACCCTGCCAATTTGGAGCTGTGGTTGATCCATTAATGTCCTTTTGTTACAAGTACTACCTATCAGGAAGTAGGTTCACAACTTGGGGCTGCTTCTGATCTCCAGAGTGGTCAATGCCCAGCTTTAGCAGGCATGCTGGAATAAGGATAGGAGGTCTAGCTACTGTAACTCATGCTCTAATCACCACACAGTTGGACAACTTTAATGCATTCTGCTTGTCACTGTATTCAGAAACTACAATTAGTAGCTGCCTCCTTTTGTAATTCCAGCATAGGGAACATATTACGGCATTTTTGGGATCCTGCATTGTTTGCCCTTTGGGTCCTATTTAAGATGCTGGAGTTGACTCATAATGCCCTCTACAACTTAGCCTCTAAGTACCTTCCGGACTGCCTACTGCTGTCAGTATCACCCCGACCAATTGGAGCTATTAGAAAAAAACAAATGCAAATTGTACATTTTCAAGAGGCTTGGCATTGCTGCTTCTTTGTACAGAGCCAACACTGTGGAACAGTCTGACCATGGTGAAAAGAATTGCTCTTTCCTTGTTGGCCTTTTGGAAGCTCTGGAAGACCAAAGTGTTTCAGACAACTTTCCCCTAATGTGAATGTTGACATCTTCGTTTAATTTTTATTTATTTTATTTTTAATGGATTTTTAAAAAATGTATATGGCTACTTTTTTAATCTGTATGCATTTTATAAAAGGCACCAAGAGTTTCCTTTGACTGCAATGCACAGAAATATGTTTAATAAAAAAACATATTTTATTTTTCTTCTTATAAATAGGCTTGACTTCTGTACCAAGGAATATTCCATTAGATACTCGTATGATAGATCTTCAAAACAACAAAATAAAAGAGATCAAGGAAAATGATTTTAAAGGACTTTCATCACTATATGTAAGCTTATTTTCTGAACTTCCTCTCACGATACGCTATCATGCTTCATTTTATCTATCTTTCTATCTACCTACCTACCTACCTTCCTACCTACACACAGAGAGAGAGACATTTGTGTGTGTGTATATGCTAAGTAACAACATAAAAGTAATATAAATTGATGTGTAAGGCAATACATAAAGATAATTATTTTGGAAAATCAGTAATTTGATCTATACTAATAATATTTTCAAAACTGAGCAATGTGCGATCATTTTATTAATCTATAGTAAAAGCAAAAGATAAACTCTAATGTGTAATATTAGAATTAAATCTAATTTTCCTTTGAAAGTCTTTAGTGACTCCTTTTCCATGTTACTTGTGCTTTATTCAAATCATACATAAACAATTTCATGTGGAATTTTATTTGAGTTTTAAGTTTGAGTACTTAAAAAAAAACCAATATATTTCCATTTAAAGAATATCATACTCTGTCCTTTTAAGTGAGAACTTTAGAATAAAATCAATGCCTAACATTAAGCTCATATTTTGATTAGGCCCTTGCCTTGAACAACAACAAAATAACAAAGATCCATCCTAAAGCGTTTCAGTCAACAAACAAGCTGCGGCGCCTCTACTTGTCCCATAATCATTTAACTCAGATCCCAGAAAATCTGCCAAGAAGTTTAGCTGAGATAAGAATTCATGACAACAAAGTTAAAAAGATTCATAAAGATGTATTTAAGGGAATGAAGTCTTTACATGTTTTAGGTAAGTGTATTATTTTTATAAATCTGCTGCACAATAGTGGGGGGTGGGGAAGCTTATTCTGTGAACCCTACCAGAATCACAGAGAGATGGGCAGTGAACAAATTTAATAAATAAATAAACCATTAGATGAGAAACTTAGATTGAACAAACTAAAATGGAAAAAGGGTAAAAGAGGTAATGCTTCTTGGTGGATAGCACGAAAATCTGTCTGCATGTTGAAAAGAGATATAAATAGAAACCATTGGCTTCTTTTGTGTGTGTGTGTGTGTGTGTGTGTGTGTGTACGTGCGCGCACACACACACACACACACACACACATTCTTTTGAGATCGGGAATCAGAATTTCATTTTTTAATGTGTGCCAATGTGTTCATAGAAACACATTAAAACCATATATATCAAAAAATAAAAGTTAGCTTATTTGTTTATATAGTTTCACTATAACGTTCCCTGGGCTAAATGCTTCATTTTTTATATTTCTGACTACCTACAGATTTTCCACTGTATATTTTTGGAAATGTATTCTTGTACATATTGTCAAAATATTCCCAGGTTCAAGTTACCATGCAAAGGTTTGCTTGCAATCTTCATGACATTTTCTGTAAAAAGCCAAAATGTCATTACTAGGAGAGAAAAATTATGGAATTCTGATACATGAGCTATAACTGAATAAAATAATCACTCAAAGCTAAAGTAGACTGCATCATATGGCATAAATATGGATACAAACCAACAGTTATGTAATATTACAATGGCAAATCTTGCCTCATTTCAAAATTCCTAAAAACCTCTTTTGTGAAATAATGTTTTATTTTGTAAGGATTGTCTAGATTTAATAATTTTATGGAATTTTAAGGTTTGTAATTTTTGTTTAAAGATGAATAGGAGTATTGAGCTTCTTCTATCATCAACACAAAGGAAGACAAAGGAAGGCAAACAAATTAATCTTCTTCAAACATAATATAAACCTATACTTCAAGGTTTTGGGGCTTAATGTGATGTAAGATGTCAGTGTTCCACCTCCAAATTAAAAGACTCCGAGACTGTCATCTTATCCATTTTATTAGAGATGTCATATTGGCACATCTGAGGAAAACCTGAATCTGAGATTCTGCTTGCTGTATTTTCTATTTTTTGAGATCATATTAAGCAAAAAACAAATGAAACACTCATATAAAAAAGCTCTCCTTTAAAATAATTAATGCTATCTTCTTGCTCAAATTTCACAGGTAGAACATAGATTCCTATTTTTCTGTGCTGCATGATTTAAACAAAATAGCTGCCTCCTGGAATTGAGAGAAAGCAGATAATCATTTGTTTATTGGAACTGAATATGGGGAAAGTTCTTGTTTGGTAACCAGCTTGATAGTCCAATTCATTGTGTGGCTCTGTCTGTAATAAATGTTTATTTTTGAAAAGATGAAATGCACCAACATTTCACTCTTTTAGAAGTTTTGATATATATAATTTTTCATGTGTATATTCCTCCAGAAATGTATCTGTTCATGAATTTATGCCATATTTTATAAATTAGTGGTGTTAGAAAGTTTCCTACCCCTTCGTACAAAGCCACTTCCTTTATACATATAAAGATTAACAGATTATAAAGATACATCGCTGTACTCTTTCACTAGAACTATAAAATCCTTGATTGGGGTAGTGGGGGAATTTGAAAATCTCCTGTCTTTCCAACTAATAGAATGTGCTCTTTTGACAGAAATGAGTGCAAATCCTCTTGACAATGATGGGATAGAACCTGGGGCTTTTGAAGGTTTGACAGTCTATCATATAAGGATAGCAGAAGCAAAATTAACATCTGTACCAAAAGGTATGATGTATTTGGTATATATATATATATATATATATATCTTCTTTTATAAACTATATTTCAAATTTGATATTAATATGTTATTTCAGTTAAAATAACTGTAACTGACTTGTGTAATGATGTATTGTAAGAATTCATTGATTTCTGAAAATAGGATCCAGAAGCTTGGCAGCACATCAGTTCCATTCTTGGAAAGAAAAAAATACATTTACAACTAAGCAAACAGTAAAAAAGAACAAACTACCCAAACCAGATTTAAAGCACCTATGTTACAGAAAATCATTGACCATTGGGTTGAGGATCTAGCTATGCCATACTTTTGTTCAAGGCAAATAAACAAGCTGTACAATTCATTTGTCTGATAGACCTCAAAGAAAGCATATTGTTTTATGCTAGAATCTAATCCAAAAATAGTGCTTGTTAGAAGTGGAGGCAAAATTTAGGCTAAGCAGTTAGCCAAATAACAAGTTATTTATTAAATTGACCATCTTAAACTTGCAGAGTACTGATATGTGCCACAAGGAGAAATATAGTCCATACCTCTCTGGAAGTTATCACTCCTAATCAAGAATTGGTACTCTTCTTTTGAGATGTACACCAATAAATTCCACTTGATAAGAAAACCAGAGCCAAGTGAATTTAAACATAAACATCCATGATGGTCAATAAAAAGACTTCATGGGGGCAACAATTAAATGAGTATGGTTCCTAATCCACATAACTATTAAGCTGGCAAATCACTATGAGGTTACCCTGAAAGACTAAAAAATGTCAAATGGTTAAAAAAAATGTAAAAAGTTCCAAGAGTTCAGAAATACTTCAGAAATATTTTTCTTCTTAATTAAATAATCAATTGGAAAATCATGCCATGTTTTTATAACAACTCAAGAAAAGGAAAACGCTAGTGGATTAACTGTAATATCTTTGCATCCAATCCTAGGATGATCTTATATGCTAAAATATAAGCATATCATGTACATATTTATTCAAATGTAAATTTTCACCGTATTCTGTGTGACTTTATCCTATTAAACATGTGAGAATTTCTGAGAAAGGTATTGGAATAACTTTCAATGTTACTCAAGCTTCTAATTTCAAGATGAGCTGAAAATTCTGGAAGTTGAAATGTATATATCTGCAATTCTCAAGGACAAGAAATTGGCATATTCAAAGTTATTTTGCAGCCCTATACATAAACACTCAAGAAATCTCAACATGCCACAGATGCACAAGTCTGTTCACTTCAGGATTCATTTACAAATGAATCTCAGAGGTCAATATGTATGAATATTAGTGACTAATTTATCAATCTAATAAACAGACATGCACATTCATACATAAATTAGAAAAACAAAGGTAGAGTTGGAAACCAACAAGGAGAAACTTTTTGGTATTTGTAATAATGCTGCCAAGATGAAATCATTGGAGAACTAATATTTTCCTAGACCATAATGGAAACCAAAGGCATGCTTTAGATCATATTGTAACAACATAGAAAACAGATACACGAATATAACAAGCACTATCATTTTAAAATTTAGATTAAATTTCTCCATCACTTTAATTTTATGTGGTGGGGAGTTTGTTAATTTTAGGATGCCACAAAATTTTGTTGTGCATATTGGCAAACAGTTCTAAAATAACAAATGTGCCTTATATTTAATTTGGAAAACTATTTTTCAGATCAACATGAGGGTAGCACAAGAATACTGTTACGCTTTCCATAAGCTATGCAGATTTGGGTTTGTTCTGCACGACCTATATATTTTAGCAGTCATAAAAATTGCTACCACAATTTCCTTTGAAATAGTCATAATAAATGGCAATACTTTTCTCAAATATACATAGGGAAGAAAAGGAGTTGTTGCCACCAACTATTGACAAATTGCACTCAATTTACAGCTCTATTTCCCAGATTTTGAGAAGTACCAATTGAAAACTGAACATGCAAGTTTTATCATGAAAATAAAGAAGTAGGCTATTTGTGAACTTAAATACAATAATAGACTGTTAATAGGGGGATTTGAAGTTTAATTCTGCTATTGGTTTACCTGTTAACTATGCTTTTTTCTATGTAGTACATAGATGTAGGCCAAGCTGGTCAGGTAAACAGTGTTATAGAAATTTATAAATTGTGTGCCTTCTTTGCAAAGCGGGGGGGGGGAGATTATTATTTTTGAAATATATTTATCAGTATTCACCAAGGGGGGATACTTTATTGTTTTATTTTTTATTCACGTTTTATTTTACTTTTGGATTTCTTTCCCTTTTGGGGAGTTTGTGTTTTAAAGCTTTGAATAACACTTAAAACATTGAAGTAACAATAAAAAAAGAAAATGAAGAAATAGGCCAACAATTTATTTTGGTATAAGATGATATTCTAAGATGACATGCAGTGGGATACCTGCACATGTGGGATGTTATGACCTTCCTTCTTGTTAATGAAGCAACTTGGAGGATGTGATCCTGCTCCAATTCAGCTATCTATCCATTTTAATTCCTGAAATGTATATTTGAGCAGGATAAGCCTCATTGCTCATCGTGACTGTGCATTCCTGTAACAATTATAGCTGCCATAAAATATTTGATATTGCCACATTTGATCTCCACATATCTAATAATATATTAATGCTTAATTTTTAGTGTTTAACTTATTCAAGATATGTATTTTCCCCTTTTTAACAGGGTTACCATCCAGTCTACTGGAACTTCACCTAGATGACAACAAAATCTCTGCAATTGAACTTGAAGATTTCATTCGATATAAAAATCTTCAGAGGTAGATCTTAAGCTTTAAATGAGTTGCCAGTAGTATGCTGATAACATTTAGTGCTGCCAATCCTGTCTATAGATGTAATAAAGTGAAAGCAGTAAAATTATCTGACTGTTTCTTAGGCTCAGTAATATTATTCAAGGGAACAGACTGAAATGAAATCCTGATAGGCAGAGGTGTTGTTGCTGTATGGAAAACCAGAGGACAGCTTGTTCTCGGATGAGGTTGCACCAGCTGTTAATGGGCATTTGCCCAATTATTTCTACTGCAAACTGCAACTCTTCTTATGTTATGGTCTGATCGTGGTAAACCAATTGTAATCTTCAACATGAGCTAAGCTTGAAGAGTTTCAAAAGTATGGCAGCTAAAAAATGGCAGCTAACCCGTCCATAAAATTGGAATATTGTTTCCATGTTGAAAGATTTGCACTTTTAAACACACTTTTAAACACAGCCCAGTGTTTTTTATTATTAACATTATCATGTATAACATTAATATCAGCAAGAAGACAAACTGTTTTAGAAGCTTCCCAATGGGGATATAAGAGAAAGCTTTTTTCTACTTTGCTCCTTACCAAGGGAATATATTTAGCCTCCAGGAAAGAATTTAAGAGCTGAGTGCCTTATATAGAAAAACAAGGCAACTAAGTAATTAAATTTAAAAATTGTAGATATTATAATTCAATATTTGATGTAATATTTTGTAACAATAATTCCTTAACATTATATTAACTTATTAAGAACACTTCCAAGAACTTCTATTTCTTTGAGGTCTTTTGTTTTCCTTTGATTTATATAAACACATTTCTACATTATACTGTATCTTTGTAGTCAATTCCTTTTTTTCTTTGAACCTATGAGGGGTCAGGAAGATCTTTTCTTTCTGAAGCAGGTTAGATCTTGTGACCTCTGTTTCTATATAGATATACTGAGGAGTTTTGGCTATGTCTATAAATAATAGATGGAGAGAATGAAGTAAAAAAAAAACACCAGAATGCCCTTCAAGACACCTGAAAAAAATGATATATACGGCTCCACTATGGATATATTAGATTGAATTAAATTGTGTTAAAAGAGGTAAGATAACTTTAAAGGAATGTAATAAGTGCAGCTAGAAGAATGTTACAAAAGAGATGCAAGTTATATTTAACAATATTCTGACAGCCCAAAAGAATATTGGAAAGCAGTTCTTGGGGAAATAGTTTTGAGAATGAAATCCTGAAATACACCATTTTAAATAGTTTATATAGTTTTCAAGCTTTATTATAAAATATATTGTCTGAGCTATTTCAAATTTTATTTACCACTAGGTTGGGGTTGGGAAACAACAAAATCAAGGATGTGGAAAATGGAAGTTTTGCTAATATACCAAATATTAGAGAAATCCATCTAGAAAAAAACAAACTGAAAAAAGTACCTGTTGGTCTTCAAGAACTAAAATATCTACAGGTAATATACAACTTAATAGGCTTTTTTTCCCTTTACTGAGACAGTTGTCAAGTTCATAACAATATCTATGGCTAGCACAAGTCAGCTGGTAACTCATTTTCATTACTAATTGTTTTAGTTCTTTACTAAATACTTCAGTTCTTTACTAAATTTTGTATTTGTATTGTATTGATCTGGGGCCATTAATCTGCTAACCCTATCTGGCAAATACCAAACTTGTGGTAGTAAGTTTAAACGTATTGTCTGGTGATTACTGAAATTTCTTTTTATCTTCTCATAGGTTGTCTTTCTTCACTCAAATAGTATTTCAAGTGTGGGAGTGAATGATTTTTGTCCAACAGAAAGAAAGCTGAAGAAAACATTATATAATGGCATAAGCTTATTCAAGAATCCTGTCAAATACTGGGATATCCAACCAGCAACTTTTCGTTGTGTACTAAATAGAAACAGTGTGCAGATTGCAAATTATGGAAAATAAAATAGTACTGACAAAGTATTATTGAAGTACTATTATTAAAACCACCATTACAAAACTTGAAACTGTTAAAATCTGTAAATTATACTGCCCAATTTCTTTAAAAAACTTATACAAGATTTAATACATTAAAAACACAACACGCATTAAATTTGTTCAATTTATTGCTCTATACTTTTAATTTGTGTAATTTAGGAATCTTTCTAGAATAAATTGTTTCTTAGCACAAAATTGGGTTGTTTTATTCACTGAGATCCACATTAGGTTCCCTTTTCTTATAGAAGTAAATAGTAAGTTTTAAAACAATTTTCAGGGATTAAATAATTTGTTATGTACTGGAAAGAACTCCTGTATAAGTATTGATCATAGCTCAACAAAAGTAAACTAAACTGGCTTTAAAAAGCTTTATAGGGCACTTTATTATTAATCTGATAATCTTATTCATTATGACACTAGACCATATTTAAATATTTATGCTAAAATTGAAAGATAAACCTAATATCAAGCTCTTTAGCCTCAAAGGCTTTAATATTTATTCATGCGGATGTCTTGGAAGTATACACTAATTTTATAACAAAAACATATATAATCTGAATATTAACCATGTAGAAATATTTTTAAGAGAGAAATTAGTATATCCTCTGCACAAGGAGCACAAATACACAATCTTGTATTTCCTGTAAGAGGTTAGTCCAGTTAGGTTAGAATTTTAAGATCTAAGGTTAGAAAAGTATTTTATTTTGTGGTAAAATATTTTAGGCATATGGGGATCTTGATCATGTGCAGCTCATAAACAGGAGACAAACAGAAAGAGAGAGAGAAGTTATTGTATGCAGAGAGTCAATGACAGTCACAGACTGTTATACCTATAAATAGTTCATTTAAATAAACTGAAAACTGCATTAAAATCATTTATTTTCCCACAAGCAGTTATAGGTATTCTGGCTAGCCTTCCCTTTACATGTGAGATAAACAGATAAATAGCTTTAAAGACAGAAAACAATAACACAAATTAATACAGAATAAAGAAAATAAAGGAAGAAAAAAGCTCTTCACATGTGTTTTCACTTGATGTAAACAATACACTTTCATGACTAATTTAAGACTTTTCAACTTCTTGTCTTTTATGTATTATTAAAGCTGGATCCAATTCTTGTATATTTCTGCTTTAGTACTGTAACTTTGCTTTAGTCCAACTTGCATGTACTGTATACAAAAATTATGGTTGTTTAACTGATGATGGTACTGTATGAAAATAGCTATCTACTTCTATATTTAATGCATTGTTCATTTAAGTTAAGAGAATAGAAAAACGCTCAGTTGTTTTATTAAACATACTGAATTAAAATTTTGTACTACTGTGATACTACTGCTTCTGTTTTAGATAAGATTCACAGTATAAATCTACACATAAATTTGAATCTTAGTACTTTGATACTGGGAACATACTTTCAACAGATGTTCTATTTTACTTGTGACTCTGGTACCATTAAAACTTCTTTTCTGAAGAACTAAGATTAATGAACATAGCAAATAAAGAAGACAATATGGAAGTTTCAGAAAAAAAGAAAAAATGTGAAAGCGGACCTCCATTCTTTGAGGAAAATTATTAACTTTACTGTCTGTTTTTTTAATAATTTTTATTCAATTCAAACAAGTTCAGTAGGTCTACATTGCTAATAAGAATTACCAAGATAATTAGGGTTGTTTCATTAATTGGAAAAGTTTACTACACATACCTATACCAAAGAAAGAGATACAAGCTATGGACTTATTCCATGAATTTTTCATATAAACAAAGGTTATCTTATAAACCAGCCCCCCACCAACCGCTAGGCCATGGCCCCACTCCTGGGCCATGGCCTGTTTGGAACCAGGTCACAGAGGGGGCAGATGAGTTCATGCATGTGCATTTACATTTGCACAAGCAGTGGGCAAGTGTGTGCACACAGCTTCATTTGTGCATGTGGCTGCCACCTGTGCAAATGGAGCTGCACATATTTATGCGCTCATCCACTGCTCATGCAGAACCATCCCATTCCCCCCACCAGTCTGCAAAGCCAGAAATGTTGGGGAACACCATTATAAACAATAGCATATGTTAGACGTACATGTTGATTTCAGAAGATGCAAAGGAACATGAGATTGATGGGGGGTGGGGGGAAGAGAATAGTAGGAGGGGCTTTCCTTTCTTTTAATAAGTACAGCTTTGATGGTATGGATCATGACAAAATATGAAACATATTAACACTAATAGCTGTGCTAGACCACCTGATTATTCTTCTGACAAATCTTTGCAATGGTTAAGTTACATTAAGAATTGAATCTGAAACGTAAGAATTGAATATGAAACAGAATGCTTCAGAAAACATAAAGGAGGAAGACAAAGATGCATACATCCCCATATATTTTACATATGCTTGATGAGACTGGAAGAATTGTAAAACAAAATAAAATGATGGCAGTTGAAATACTGATAAGTAGATGAATTCATTGCAAAAGTGAACATAGAAAATGAAAAATTCAGGATAATGGTAAATATTAATAAGAGTAATGTTTTAGTGAGTTTGCACTTGATTCCAAAGAAGTGAGGGTAATGTATGGTTTCGTTTTCTTGAGGTCAACAATAAATACATATGAGCAGTATGTTTGGAAAAACAAAGAGAATAATGTGAGGGAGGAAGATTATGATAAACTTCCATTCAATCATGAAGAATAAGGACATTTCAGAGAAAACAAAGATCAAATACTTTTAAATAACCAGTCTGGGTATAGAGAAAAAAGACAAGCAGATAAGTAGAAGTTACAGACCTAGATACAGTTACCATGGATTGTTGTTGTTGTTCAGTCACTAAGTTGTGTCTGACTCTTAGTGACCCCATGGACCATAGAATGCCAAGCCCCTCCGTCCTCTACTGTCACCCACAGTTCGCTCAAATTTATAAATTGTAACAAATGCCAATCAATTCATTCTACATCATATAAAATTTGACTAAACTCCTGAAACACTGATCAGCACACAGATGCTCACACAATTTGGACATGGTAGCGGGACATGGTTATGAAAAAATGTTTTGTCATATAATTTATTTTGTCTATTGACCTGATCTTTTCCACTCATTCTACTTCCAGGTTCAGACTTCCCATTCTTTTGACATCAGGCATTCTGTTTATCTTTAAAACATGTGTTACATTGCTATTCAGAATGCTACAAATATACAGCTCTATCGGTTTGCCTATTCATCATTTTGATACAAAGACAGAATTCATACCCGATGTCATCCGTCCTGTTGGCATATGCAGCAAAAGAAACTCCTGGGACATAGCTTTACTGATAAATCCATATAGGCACAACAAAAGCTAAAAACTTTTCATGGAAAAAACTACGTAGTAAAATCCCACTTTTTCCACCCACCGTCCACTGTTCACCAATCCAATCTCTTTGTTTCAGCGAACAGTCTGCTCGGCTGAGAAGGCTCTAATAGTTCAACTTTGAGGTGTCGAGATTCTTCCAGGCCACATATGGGGCACATGAATTCCTCAATTCCCTGCAAGCCAATCATGCATTCCAATCATACCCCTCCCCTCTCCCTGTTGTCTGTCTGCGAGCAAAATTGCACAATGAGTCGGCCAATAACCCTAATCATTTCCTAAGTTGATTGTAGCTAGACTATTCACATTTCTTATTCTATTCTGAATTAATCTAATCTAAGTTGGAAAAGGCCATTTTTGGACATTGTGTCTAAATTCCTGCTGAGTGCAGGAATCCAAATTAAAGCATTCCAGACAGAAGGCTAACTCTGTGTAAACATATCAGATGAAAGAGAACCGAACACCTGTGTAACTGGTTCCATGGTTCAATTGAACCCAATAACTCTCCTTAAATTCTTAAACTAATTTGTTTATTGTTTCAGTTTCTAATAAAACTTTAAACTTGTTTTTATTGTCATACAACTTATTTTATTATTGCATTATAGCCCCTTAAGGTTCTGTTCCTACTTTATTCTTGGATGTATTAAATGTATTGCCCCAGCTGTGGGTAGCAGCTAGGAGAGCTAAGTGGAACCTGAAGTTTCAGATGTGGTATTGCTTATTTGTAAAATTTAAGTATTATTAGTGATATATACATTATTTTATATTATAGCTTTAAAATATATAACTATTTCTGTATGTACATTATTCCTGCAAAACTTTGATTCTTGGTAAAATCAAGAATGTTAACAATTGCAATTCAATTGTTTATACACTGCTCAAAAAAATAAAGGGAACACTTAAACAACACAATCTAACTCCAAGTCAATCACACTTCTGTGAAATCAAACTGTCCACTTAGGTAGCAACACTGATTGACAATCAATGTCACATGCTGTTGTGCAAATGAAGTAGACAACAGGTGAAAACATAGGCAGTTAGCAAGACATCCCCAATAAAGGAGCAGTTCTGCAGGTGGTGACCACAGATCACTTCTCAGTTCCTATGCTTTCTGGCTGATGGTTTGGTCACTTTTGAATGCTGGTGGTGCTTTCACTCTAGTGGTAGCATGAGACGGAGTCTACAACCCACACAAGTGGCTCAGGTAGTGCAGCTCATGCAGGATGGCACATCAATGTGAGCTGTGGCAAGAAAGTTTGCTGTGTCTGTCAGGGTAGTGTCCAGAGCATGGAGGTGCTACCAGGAGACAGGTCAGTACATCAGGAGACGTGGAGGAGGCTGTAGGAGGGCAACAACCCAGCATCAGGACCGCTACCTCCGCCTTTGTGCAAGGAGAGACAGGAGGAGCACTGCCAGAGCCCTGCAAAACGACCTCCAGTGGGCCACAAATGTGCATGTGGCTGCTCAAATGGTCAGAAACAGACTCCATGAGGGTGGTATGAGGGCCCGACGTCCACAGGTGGGGGTTGTGCTTACAGCCCAACACCGTGCAGGACGTTTGGCATTTGCCAGAGAACACCAAGATTGGCAAATTCACCACTGGTGCCCTGTGCTCTTCACAGATAAAAGCAGGTTTATGCTGAGAACATGTGACAGACGTGACAGGGTCTGGAGATGCCGTGGAGAATGTTCTGCTGCCTGCAACATCCTCCAGCATGACCGGTTTGGCAGTGGGTCAGTAATGGTGTGGGGTGGCATTTCTTTAGGGGGCCGCACAGCCCTCCATGTGTTCGCCAGAGGTAGCCTGACTGCCATTAGGTACTGAGTTGAGAACCTCAGACCCTTTGTGTGGTTGTCCCTGGGTTCCTCCTAATGCAAGACAATGCTAGATCTCATATGGCTGGAGTGTGTCAGCAGTTCCTGCAAGACGAAGGCATTGATGCTGTGGACTGGCCCGCTCGTTCCCCAGACCTGAATCCAATTGAGCACATCTGGGACATCATTTCTCGCTCCATCCACCAATGCCACGTTGCACCACAGACCACCAGATCCCTCAGGAGACCATCCGCCACCTCATCAGGAGCATGCCCAGGCATTGTAGGGAGGTCATACAGGCACACCGAGGCCACACACACTACTGAGCCTCATTTTGACTTGTTTTAAGGACATTACATCAAAGTTGGATCAGCCTTTAGTGTTTTTTTCCACTTTAATTTTGAGTGTAACTCCAAATCCAGACCTCCATAGGTTGCTAAATTTGATTTCCATTGATAATTTTTGTGTGATTTTGTTGTCAGCACATTCAACTATATATTGAACAAAGTATTTCATAAGAACATTTTATTCATTCAGATCTAGGATGTCTTATTGTTATGTTCCCTTTATTTTTTTGAGCAGTGTATTTTAAATATACTTTCATTCATCCATCCATCCAATTTACATGGTTGCCCATCTCAACTCTGGGTGACAAACTGAATTAAAAAAACATTAACATTTTAAAAATTAAAAGTGTAGGCAGCTAAGAAACAACAACTGAAAAATGCTAATACAATCAAGTCAGTCCCTGCACACACCTGGAGCCCAGGCACAGGCACATAACCTGATCTTTAGATGGGACCTTATGAAATGCCAGCAGAATTGGGACCAACCTGATCTCCAGAGGGAGAATATTCCAAGATGAGCGCTACAGCAGTTGTCTTCTAGGCAATGCAAACCAACATTCTTTGGCCACTGGGACCTGAAGCACTCCCATCCTCTCTGACTAGATTGGATCGTGTCCTGTCCCAGTTCACACAATTAACGCTTCAGAGGTATTTAATATGTTCATTTTATAACTAAATGCTTTAAAGCATTTCTCAAGAACCCTCAGTAAGTTTCCCTGTAACCTGCGATTGGATGCCTTCTATCCGAAAACTGGAACTCGCCGGCAGGGCTTGGCTAAGAACAGCAGCCCAACAC